CGAGTCTTCCACACTTCGGGGTTGGGTATGACTGGCTGACTATGGCTCATGAGCCAGAAATGGTCATTCCAGTCTCCCTTGTCTTTGTCGGTAATAACATACTGTCTTTTATGGCTGTTCGAAACAACCAGATCACTTGTACAGCCTCACCAGAGAGCGTAGACTGCACCGGTTCAGAGGATTACGGTAGCCGGCATAAGTACAAACGGAACGAGTATTCTCACAGCCTCTGTTATCTGTCAAAATAATGAAGAAATGTTCACTAGGATGGCTGTTTACTCACCTTTGGGAACGCGGTTACCGCTCAGATTATAACTCACACTTGAGGGGTTAGTAAAGGTTGCTGTGACAGTATACCTAACGGCATGCAGAACTTGCCGGCAATTTAAGAGGCCGTAGGTTTATGGCTACCTTTGACTTTTAATCTGTGGCGCCGTAACAGCACCCAAACGCCTTGCTGCCGTCCGGTCGGGCCCAGACAGAAAAGCAATTGCCTTTCAATCATTTGCGATGCACAACCGGGCAAACAACAGGTGGTCGCTATTCATCTGTCTATTACCGGCTGTCTTCAAAATCGCTGCAGAAGATGCAAACTAAAGTTCTTCTCACTTCGATGCTTCTTCATGCTCTTGACGCAAGGCCTGTGTTTTCTAGTCGGGGCATGTGTTGTACACCCGTATGCTACCCGGTTTAACGGAAAATAACGTAACCATCTGCCTAATCTCATACGCTAACGCAGCGTCCTCGACTGCTGGCGATGGCAGTGCGTTGATTTTCAGTCCGGACCTGTCCAGGTCAGCCCCACACGAGCCCTTTGTATTCTGTGCTGTGAGCTAGCCGTTTTAAACGCGGTGGTAAATATTCTGGTGCCACCCAGTGTTGAGGTCTGATCCGCGCTACTGCTGCTTTCAAGAACCTTGGGGTCACAAGCCGGCCGCCCTGGTGCCTGTTAAGTGTTAGGCTCGTAAGTTGACAGAGGACATCTTAGATAAATAGATTTCAAAGTACTGCTTTTTCCAGTCGTCCGATCCTTTGCGTTCAATGTCTTGCCAATCCAGAGCCCAAAATATCAGAGGAAATGGAAGCGCCTTTGGGCGAACATTAGACGGTCGCCTGCACACTTTCGACTTGTCACACCGCCGTTGTCCTGCTGGGTATACTTGAAAAGACGCCTGCGCTTGCGTAACTTTGACTCTGATCATTTATTTCTGCTTCAGAATCCATTCTGTTTGAACCACAACACGGCTCTGAGGAGTCCACGCAGAACCCTTGGAGGCGTTACTGTCAGGTATGCCGGTCTCATCCATACGTACTCTTTGCATATTCTACTGGTCCAATATATGCGTCTTTCTTTATCTGCATAAAGATCTGCCGACGGGGCTTCAGCAGCCCGGCCCAGTACTCCCAACATTTGAAAAACGTACACAAGAATAAGCGCTTCCTCTGTCCAGACTGTGGTACGTCGGATGCATCCATAGTGACTAGTTTAATTGGTCTTGTCTTGGAAACTTATATTCTTACCATGTGATAATCGGTTTGTTTTTCCGGCGTCTTGCTTCCATACGCAATTCCCACCCCCAGTGTTCCAGGTTACCAACCAATCGAGCGCTAGTATTCTCCCCACTCACCCTCCGCCAACCCTGTTGTCATAAGATCGACCCTCCTGTTTCCACAACTAAACAGCGACCTTAACTATCGATAAGACTGTTTTAAAATAGGAAACTTTAAAATTTTTCCCGAAGTCTGCCCGCCAGCGGACGCAGTTCTTGGCTCACCCCTGCAGAACGGCTGAAGACAGAATTGCAAACAATCTGCTGCTGGCTGGGTCACCGAGGTTGTCGTGGAGACCAGAGGACCTATGATGCTCACAAATGTTATTTAGCAGATAAATTTCTCGGTGGAGGTTGCCTTGGGCAGGGCTTTTTACGGATTGTTGAGTGAAACGCCAGTCAGCAAGCAAACTAAGTCTGCGGAGGAAAATGAGTTATTGGGGACAGAAAAGGTGCATATATCCATGTGGCAAAACCACGATATCTCAGTGGTCTGGCTGCTCAGTGGATCGTCCCTCGTGCTGCTTGAGGACTCACAGTCGCCAGTTTCTCGGGCTGTTCATTCGGAAATTTGATTTTAAGGCAAACACTCCATCCTTGGCAATTCCCTCCAAACGACCCTTTCATCACGCCTTAAGAATTTCTCTTTTTTGTCTTACATTTTTAACCGCAGTCCACACGTCTTTTTGCCGCAGAGAGAGAGGAGGGGGACGGACGGCCTGGTACCTCAAGCCCAGTTAGCTAGCGGCCGATTGCCGAAAACATAGTTGGGTAGCTGTGGCCTCGTGTGCCATTATTAGGGCATGTTCACGTTCTTCAACCGGAAATGGGCAACTGCGTTTTTGGATGGTGAATTTTGGCGGGCGCTTGAGGGCTGAGCTGGCTGTGACCCCCCATTTTTAATTTGCTTCCCTCTCCTTTAGGCACATCCTTTAGCACCAAAGGCAATATGACAACGCACTTTCAGCAAGTTCACAATCTCAGCGACTCCGTGTCATGTCCTCTGTGTTCCAAACGCTGCAGTAACCGGTGAGTCAACAGGCGTGCTATTGACTGCAACTATGCCCACCCCCGTTCCTCTGCTTCCATAATACGCTTGCCAGCACAGCTTGGCAAACAAACTCTCTGTCCAGATGTTCGCACCCACCGCTATCGAGTTTCTTATGCATCAGTGGGATGTCTTCCCAGGACACCACTTTCACATAAGCACACTCACTAGACCCACTTCGATACATCAGTGTTGATAATTTTATTGTACACTGAGTGTCTCACTCTAAACCTTAGATACAACCTACGACGTCACATCTCTCTAGTCCATGCTATAAAACAGCGGAATCCGGACCACTCCTCCGACACAGAGGGTAATGCTGAGAGAAACACGACAGACCACACTGACCTGTCCAGCGACGCTGATCAATCAGCGACAATAACACTGACAACGGCGCCCACAACAGGAAGATCTCGAGGTTACTACCTATACATGGCACCGCAGAAGAAAACTCCAGAAGCGGCTGAACCCAGCGGCGGTCTGGGCGCCCCGACGTCTGAGGTTTTACAGGCTAACAAAGAGCAAACTGATGCTGGTGGTCAGCAGGTCTCCGAGCCGTCTCTGGTAGCGGAGGTCAGCATTGTTCGCAGCAGGCGCTATGCACCCATTGTCAGCGTTCAACTCTCGCCCGCAGGCAGTAGTAAGGAAATTCGTCTTTTACAACCACTGGACGGGAAACCGGAATTGGATTGAAAATCGCCTTTGTCCGTGTACATAGTACTTGTCTTTCTTGTTCTTCTTTCCTCCTCTCCTTCTCATCCCCGCACTGCGTTCCGCATTTGTTACTCCGCTGTGGACGTCGGATCGATGGCTTTATTTGGGTGTTTGTTTTGCGACTCGGGATTGTCCGATATTTGAAAGGCCGGGTAGCACTGTTCGCAGACTAGCCATACACCGCAGGCGCTATCAACTCCACTTGTCGTATAAGCTACACTCCAGCAGCTCGGGTTTTAAACCCTTGCCAGCGCATCTCTCATTGCTAAGTTAAATTACAGTGGGTAAAATCAGATTCCCTAAACAAACCCCACTGAAAGTAGTGGACACCGCTGACGTTTGCTGGGGTTCTGTTGTGCTGACCCGCGTACCTTCATGGAAAACCTGCGGCTGGTAATTTGGCTTTGGGTTGCATCACGGCCCCAGGGCGTGCCAACCAACAAGGGTGCAGTAAACCTATTTGCCAACACGATGGTCGCGCAAGTTTGGAGCTCCCGGGGAGCCAGCAGCTTGTTAGGGTATTTTCGAACTGCTGTCCACAAGTCTACATCATTCCCGTAGATGATGATGATGTCCCGAATCAAAGACCCGTCACAAAAAAAGCGGCATGGCAGTGCTGCTCACGCTATTTCGTGCGCCGGGCACTTGTGTACGCCGGCTCGATGGGCTGATGCCTTGCGACGCGCCCCACAGCGCGTAAACAGGCCCGCCGGCTAATTGCCACCGATGTTTGCATCCGCTCGAAGGCGTAGAGGGATACCGTCACAACTCCCATCGGACACGCCAGACTCCCACGAAACCAGGCAATGCAGTGGTGACTGTACTAACGACAATACCGATCTCGACGCACACTGCCAAGGTCTGTGGTTGTTCATCTGTCACTCTCGCCAATGCGTAGAACTAGGCAACAATAGGTTATCCCCACGGACCGACTATCCCTTAACTCACAGAGAATACCGGTCGAGACCTTCCTTCCCCCAGGCATTCGAAACATGCAGTCACCAATGGCAGCCATCGCACCTCTCGCCTTCCGACACGCGGACCTCGCTCGCCCCATTGTTCGTAGTCACTATCTCCACTCTCGAGAACGCTAAGCGCTCTCCCTGCCGACCGCACCCTCCCCCACAGCTCTCGAACTAGACTCTTCCTTTACATGTCACCTGATAATCGGCTGTTAGAAGTTCGGAAAATAACGACCAGATCTCTGATTCCGAGGTGCCCTTGTTTCTCCAACAAATTATGGTTTTCGAATGAACCTCGAACCGATATACGCGTGGTTGCGTGTGAAACCTTTATGATCGAAACGGTCGGCCGAAAATGAGTTCCAGCCAACTGCGGTAGAATGGGGATTAAGAGAAACCTGAATATTTTCCTGAAGATTGTAAAGGTGCTCGGGAAATGCCTACACTTTAAATAGCAAATTGCCTGTCCAAACAGCCTACGGTTAGCGACATGGGACTCTGTTGAAATGCGTTTCTACGGCCGGCCAGTAAGCCAAATGCAATTCATCTGATCCCTTGCTTAGGTAAGTTTGAGGGGCCTTAACAACTCCGGAATATAGCCCTGAGAGGTCAAAGTATGAAAACTGGAAGATTGTTCGAAAAAAAGTGCTGTACTTTCGATTTGGCAAGCGTAAAAATACAAATATGAAGCATGAGCCAAAAGTTAGAAAGTTATTCGCGGCGTGATCACGAGTTCTCTTTGTGCAGAGCTGTCATGTATCCGTCATATTGCGCCAAGAAGATAGAACTAAAGATGGCAGTTAGTCCTTAAAAACGGGTGGCAAACCTCTTTTCGCGCTCAATAACAACTACGAGGTCGTCATCTTCTGTGATAATACGTGCGTGTTTAAAAATAGAACTCAAGACGTTGGATGCACTTTTCTCGTTGTTTCCACGGGACAAAATTGGCAAGCCTTCGGGGTCAAAGCACTCGACGGCAGTAGCGTCTCCCTCCGACAGGCTGAAACAGAAATTCAATATAGGCAGGGCGAAGGGGACAGGTGACTGACACAATCGTTTCAGATCTTTAATAACCCCATCCGGCAATCAGACCTCGATAAACAGTTTCGATCATATATCATCGCAGTCATACCAAGTACAAGTCAGTCGAATAGGCGAGGCGCTGGCAAAATCGAATATATGGTCAACATGGTGTGTGCGGTTTTCTTTCGATCTCGTCGAGACTTCGGGAGTCGGTGAAACACTAGTCGTGGAGCCGATCTTCGAATGTTCGAGGACGTTTCCAGGATTTCATCAGGCACTTGGATGCCTAGCCACAGGCTGAGTAAAGAAAATGATGAAGCCGTCCTTGACATCATCTCACTCGCGCTCCGCCCCCTGGTTGACGATCCCAACTGCGGACAGATGTGCGTGAGGACAACCGACTGCAGATCTGGCACGGTGGCATAAGATCCAAGTGGATGGCGAGTCAAATGGTTGAGTTTTGCTAGGGAGTCTGTTGTCGATCGACTTCAGTAGATGGCGGTCGTCGATGAGGTGGCAGACCCGCGGCATCAGACCGGTTGACCTGCTCGTGGTATCTCCACAAGTGCAAGTAAACAGTAGTACGTAGTCTGCAAACGGTTACGTATACTCGTTCTAATGATATTTATTAGTTGGAGAAGTTCGCTCAGTAAACAAAACAGAAAAACTAGTAATAAGAGTCAGTGTAATCACAAGAGGACGGCTGAAAGCGAGCACAGTCTGTGAAAGCACCCTAGAGGAAACAAAAGTAGTATTAATGCGACACGATAGACATACATTTCTGTGAAGTATTTGTCCAGCTCTCCCTCCATGGTTCTGATAGACGTTGAGGTTCCCGTCCGTCGAAAACGGTGCTTTCTGTTTAGGCCTTCGTAATGAATGCGAGAGATCCGGTTTAAAGGTTCTCAAAGTGATCGCCGGCAACTCGATGACAATATGCCCGCAGGAGGACGCACAAACTCTGTCGGGTAAAACACTGAAAGTTTTATCCCAAAACCTTCGGGCGATTTCTGAAGTGCCGTATGGATGGACGACTGACTTTGGAACCTACAGTTTACAATTAATCCGCAACGACTGTGATAATTATTAGAGAAACTGATATCATTGTAATGTAAACTGAGGGGTAATGATGCTTGTGAGGATGGTGACGGTGCTTACGTGGAGTATGGTGCCGCCACCGCTGGTGACGATGGTAGTGCAGGTGACTATTATTTGGCAGTCAAAACGGGAAGAATGAACATATAACAAAGCGCAATAAAAGTGGAACACCAAGCTAAGTAATTGGCCAAACGGTGACTATAGAGTCCCTATTACTTTAAAGGTAGAGCACTCTGCGGAACATGAATTCGGATGTCTGTCAATTCTGGTAAAGGGGTAAAGTGGTAAGAGGAGTGAGCGTTAAGTACGAGAGCTGGAAAAGGCCCAAAAATTTCTTGCACACTCGATATCGGCAACAAAAAGATTCCCTCGAAGGGTGTTCAGACGAGTTTTCTTCAACCGCTTTCGCCATTCTGGATGTGCCATGTATAACATATGATTTGGTTTTAGCCTTGTTGTCACGCATAGGACATTAAAGGTTGTCTTACCAACAAAAAAGTAAAAATACTTAATACTTAGTACGAGTTTTGAGTAGGACACATATCAGACGCAGGAAATTGGCCTTCATTTCTGACTATTGTACAATTCCGAAGATTTTCCAGGGTAGGTCACAGGAGCGAGTTCTCGAGTGGATTAAGGCCTTAGTCTCTAATAGCATATGACTGTATTACATCAACGTATTCTTGGCATTTTCTTGCCGTGACAATGCCCACGCGCTGATTGGTCGAAATACTTACGTGATGGATTAATTCCGGGAACTGTCGATCAACGTCTTGAGTACAATTAGTTGATGGGTGTCAAGTGCTGAACGACAGAATTGGCATGCTGCCAGTGCTTGCGCACGTGAAGACGGCATCGATTTGGCGCGAACAACAGGTGTGGGCAGGAGGTCAGGTAATAAATGTTACCAGGTCTTTCGGTCATTGCTGCACCGTGATAGTGTCTGAAGGCCAACGAGCTCAGGCTCATAAAGTACAGTTTCGAGCGAGGTGTCAGTTCTGGCTTTGGTAGTTTGAGTGCCTGACGTGTTTTGCTTCAGCGGCCCTTTTTATCTACTCACCCGTTTGATTTTAACTATTTACATGTTCCCAAGAGAATCTAAAAGATTTTCTAAAAGGCTATAGCACGGAAAGTTAAGAAAAGGCATCAGGAAGTGAGAATGTGGGAGGAAAGGCTGCCTTAGCATCGTTCGACTCGTCACTTTCGACGTCGGAGTCAGGATCGGAATGCATGGTGGTGCATGAGCTAGGATTTGACAATTTCACAGATAGATTCAGCAATCTAAGTGTGCGAGGTTCTCGTGTTTGTCGTGCAAGCACAGCAAGTGCGGCAGTTGATGATGACGAGAGAGGGTGGAACTGTGAGCCGTGAGCTGTTCACTCACATACACTGCAGTGTTACGTGAAGGCTTTGTTACTTCCAGCTAAAACGTTTGTAGAAGATACGCGTGCAGTGTAGGTTCAATATCGAGGAGGCAGTATGTCTATCTTGGCCTTGGACCTCAGGTGATTAATATCAACTCACCTAGTGGTAGATAGTTTTAAACGTACACTGAAGTTAGTAGTGCCATTGGTAGAGATGGCATACCGGTCAATCGTAAGTCAGAAGATGAATGTTGGCCCATCTCAGACAGAATTACAGGGTCGATTAGCAGCAGCGTATTTGTTGTAGGGGTTTTCCATAATCCGTCAAAGCCGGGTGACGTCGACGTCATTGCGAAGTACGACACGATCGTGTCAAACTGCCAAGAGATAACGCGCGATATCGCACACCTTAATCAAAATAATAGACAGGTGAATGTCCACAGTCAGTTTCTGGCACTATCAATCCCGTTCTCAAAGTGGACAGTGCTCGTGAACCCTACAACCACACAGTCCCCAGTTAGAGGTTTGCCAGCACATGGGATGAGGTGGACATAGTAGCAGGATAATCCATTATTTTGTCGGTGTTTAGCCGTATATTTTCTGGGTGGTTGTAGATAAAAACCCCGATGGACATCAGTGATAATGAAGACGGCCAACAAAGGTCGGGTGGAACAGCTCGCAATCCATGCGACAATCCGATATTGTCGTTGGACGATCCTCCACTGTCACCTCTGGTAGGTTGTATCTTATGAAAAAGCATACTGTTTAGGATACGCAAGGCAGTTGCCTCCGACACTGATTCTGCTGATGGGTTGCCTTCATGGTCAGCACGTGATACACTGACTTTCTAGACACAGTTGGCAACGCAACGCGCTCTGCCATCACCACAATGACCCGGGAGTTACACTAACAACGGAAATCCAACCAGAAAATTCGCAAGCAATTGGCGTGATTGACAAACAGCAGCATTAAGTTTCACGAGAGACTGCATATTACGGACTTGTTGGCAGCAAACCGATCATCCACTTCTACTGACTCTACGCCCTAATAGCAATGATATGCGAAACGGATCTCGATGCTCGTATACCAATCAAAGCTGGACTCTGATTGGTTGGCCGCGGTCGTTAAAGCAATTTTCCCAGGGGCGTACTGCGATGAGCGTACGCCGATAAACTGCCGACTCTTATCGATAAGACGGTGTGCTTGCTATCGCACGCACGATTCTGGACGTCATTTCCTGCTTTCCCACGCCACTGCACGCACGCATTCCCGCTGTGTTAATCCTCTTTGCTTTACCTGCATTACTGATGTTTTGCATTTTCTTTTTCATACGTCCAGGGCAATATCGCGAAGAACTCATCGTAGGCGGTCACAGCAAGAAGTCGGGAACATGTTAGGAGAAATAACGGCCGCGGCCATTTTACCACCAAATCCCCTTAACAAGCCGATTAACAACTGGGTGATTTTAATGAGGTTGGCGGACGGCTTGGAAACCCTGTGTGCCGGAGTATAGTGGTAGGCTTTAAATTATTTTTTACGGCTTACCTCGACGGACTTTGTTCAGAGGGTGTTATATGCCCTTTTTGATGAAGAAGTCACGGCCAACGTGAACTTCAGAGGAAAAATGACAAAGGGAGGAAGTTGCAGCTTGCCGTTGTATTGCTTCTACCTACATAAGAAACTTATCGTACAATAGATGTGTATGCCATGTGGCACAAGGGTGGGCGTGTTGATATCTACGAACTGGAGGCAGCGTTCACCAGGCGGCTGAAGAGGTCTCTGGATGAGTTAAGGAAGCGGCGTAATAAGCCTGATTCAATAATGAATCTGACTGACGGGTAGTACTAATGATACCTAACAAAATTCCTCTTGTATAGAACCACTTTCAGACTCACTCTTTCCGCCGCAGTTCACGCCGGATGGCAGGACGTCGGCGGACAATTAGTATAGGTTTCATCATTTTGTACACCATTTTTATGATAAAATTACGTCAATAAGACCGTCACAAAGACCTCCACGTAAAGTAAATTCGATGGTTGGGAGAGAGTTAGTGGGCTGAAAGCCGTCGAAGGCTTATACGTTGGGGGTTGTTATTGTCGTACGGCGCCCTATCCCGACTTTTCGTTGTTGTTCCCACAGCGACTAAATGAACGAAATCCACTTTAATCGGCCATAACTATCGTGACTTTTCCATAGCCAGTCGCTGTTGAATTAATACGGGCTTGCTACTGGAGATACCTACAAGGTCACAAGACATGGCGCACACAGCGCGCGACATCTTGACAACTGATAACTATACATAACAATAGCCACCAAAGCAAAACACGCCAGACACTCCAAATACCAAAACCAGAACCGACACTTCACTCGAAAATGCTTTATGAGGCTGAGCCCGTTGGCCTCCGGGCACTATGAAGGCGCGACAGTGACCGAAAGACCTGATAACATTTACTATTTGACCTCCTGCCCAGACCTGTTGTTCGCGCCAAATCGATGACGTCTTCGCGTGCGCAGGCTTGCGTGCTAGTGCTAGCACTGGCAGCATGCCAATTCTGTCATCCGGCACTTGACACTCATCGACTGATTGTACTCAAAACGTTGACCGACTGTTCCCCGAATTAATCCATCATGCAAGTATCTCGATCAATCACCGTGCGGCAAAAATTGCCGCACGAAAATGCCGAGAGAACGTCGACATAATGCGGGCATCTGCTATCAACGAGCAACTTCGGTTAACCGCGATAAAACCCACTAACAAATGATAAATGCATGATGTTAGTAACGGCACTTATGTTAACGGTTTTCAGTGATAACTACGATATAAGAAACTTCAGTAAATAGGGAACAGCTGAAGAAAGACAACCAGGACGCAGAACACACCTTGGCAGGCGGACGTCACAGCACTGGCCTTTAGTGTCGGCATATGGGATGTAACTTCTCAAACACAGATCTTCAATTTATATGAAACGCAAGTCACACTGATTTGAAATAGTTTAAAATCTGTCAAATATAGTAAGTTTTACAAAATACTGTCGAAAACTTAGAAAAAAAACAAGACTTGATTTCCTGCACTGTCTATAATACGCCTGGCCCCGACATGCCAACGTGGTGGACTCGAAATAAATCGCAAACGAAAGGGATCCAGTCTTTTATTCTCGACAGTTAGCTGGCAAAGTAATAGATTGCTGCTCTTAGATCGCCATCGTGGAATAAATGCAGCGCAACAGGCCAGTGCATCAAGGTGATCGTTTGAGCGCACTTTTATTCACGTTGTTCGTCAGAAACAAGACGTATTTCATATAGACTGTCACAGTAGATCAATTATATTAGAGGCAATTCACACGCACACTCTCATAAAATAAGCCTCTCTACGCGGTAACATCGCATTAGGAGCAATTCACTCCATACCGACAAACTGCATCTTTTTTGATTAGGGTCAGTCCGAAGATCAGTACAACAAAATTCACCGCCCCCTCGGATCTGGCTGCATCTTCCACGTCTGCAACAGCCTGGCCAGCGGACATCCGGATCTTAATTAGCGTAGCCCCTCTAAATTCGGCCGACCGCCGCTGTTTCAAACCTGGTCTTTGTTTCCAGACTGTTCACTGTCTCCAAAATCATACGTTTGGCAGCCTTTCGCTCTAAGTGCATTTGCCTTCGTCGTTCGTTCTTTGGATCTTCGTGATTAGCGATGCCCTTCATGCAATTCTTGGCGTGGAATCCCTAGGACAGTTCGATCTCCTAGTGAACTGCCTGCGTTACCGTCTGCACGACCGCATGATTCCCCTAGCTGTTCGCTGGTTGTCTCCCCTTCCAACCTGCTGAAACTTATAAATCCTGGGCACACGTATAGATTGCCCTAGCAAAGAACTCCTTCTTAAATATTCTAACATTATCAGCCCCCAGATCCAAAGTTTCGAGGTTCAACACGATTTTGTGCATCATATGCGCATTTCAAGGCTTCCTGTGCCTGCGCGACCTAGGTCATTTGCGTCGGTTTGTCGGCAGGTCGCGAGGGCGGAATTCGAATGCGTGCTATAGCGTGGTATTATGCGACCATCCAAGGGTCCCTCGACGTTTCCTCTGCGCGTGGTGGCCTATATGACGTCAGGCGACTAGTAACCCTGTTACGGCCGTAGTGCACCCGAAAATGCATTCGTCTCTAATAGTTTCCCAGTGTCTCAGCTGCAAGAGCTTGACAGCGCCTACTATTGCAATGTGGTTTCCCTGACGATCGATGTGGTGAATGCCTTTCACCATATATCTCTCACCCTGGGGACATACCCGAAACTGCTGTAAGTTCTTTATTTGACCTTTGAGGCTTCATCCGTGTGCTCCTCGGCTGTTTAATTTCCGTCCGGATGGCAATCGATCACGCCTTACATAGTCTACCTTTGTGTACGCCTTCATCGATAACATCTCTTTGACCGGTTGAATTCTGAGTCCCAAAATCAGCATCTCATATTGGTGTGTGACCACGCCGTCGTCATTAATCGATTAAAATGTGTTTTCGACGTAACTTCCCTCGAGTTTTTTGACCATCTTGTCGACCCAGAGATTTTTTGTCCTTCACTATCCTAATTTGACGCGAATCACGATTTTCCTTTAAAATACGATAGTCAGTTGAAATGGACCGTCGCATGTCCAACTTTTACTGCCGGTCCCTTTCCGAATTGTATTGACCTCGTTCTGCCGCTCGCCAACATTTTCTCGGATCCGAAGGCCCTTGAAGCTTCCCAACGACGTACTGATGATTTTGAGAAAATCAGGCATTTCTTTGTGTATGCTACCTTGCAGACGCCTCCCGCTGCCGAAGCCTCTCTGCCGCTGATCGTAGACGATTCGACAGTACCCGTTGGCACAGTCCTTTAGTGACTCTTTTGAGGATTGACCCTGCTGTAACCCGTCTTCTCTAAACAGCTGTCGTCAACTAAGACACGCTACAGTACCTTTGGTTGTGAATTACTAGCCATCTACTTAGGCCTGGGGGATTTCCGCCAATTCTGTGAAGGCGTATTGGCATGTTTGTGCTTTAAGGGTTACAGGTAGCGCCCTTGATAACCCTATTAACATACAGAAGAAATTTGCGAAAATTTAGAATGTGTTCAAGTCCAAATACAACAAAATACAAACTACAACAAAATTATCACGGTGCGGTTGTCAGAGATATGGTCGGAAGTATGTAGGTTTTTTGGACGAAACTCCCGTTTTAATTCTGTGATAATCGAGGTATTTGTATAAAGAATTGACTTGTTAATTCCGACAGGCCGTCAGGGTGTCCAGGACTCAGGAGACTCCAAAAAGTGGAATTCCTCGGAGCCCGAAAACTTCGGACCGAATTCAAAAGACGCGGTTTCCGTTGGATCCTTTCACTATTCTAAGAGCTTTTGACAGTTCGCGGCTCCTTTTTCTCCGCTTTTGTCGTGCTGCCTTCCTGTCCACCTTACAGTCCCTGTCGATCCGCTGCCGGGACGCGCGAGACTTGTCCCTAGCCTCGCGAGTGCTCGAAGCCAATCAACGCTGTCCCTCCTCTGATTGACTGGCGGACACTGAGACAGCGAAAGGCGCACACATGCGCTGGGTCTGAGTGCCTCGACGACGGACACAGACAACACAACTTGCTTGGAGAGCGCGCTCGAGGCGACTTCTTTCAGAGCTTTGTGTACGCACTTTGTCGGCAGTAAAGGCTGTCCAACTCAATCGTTCTTGCCTGACTTGTGATTAGGGAACCATAGTCTCGTTGATCACCTGCTTTCGACAATTGGTGACTCCCTGCGAAAAGCAATCTTTCTTCTTACTTGACAACGATAAAGTCAGGCTTTGACCATGAATAATTTTCCACCGGAAATGCAGCATATTTTGGCACCCGCTTTTGATATGCTTTCGGCCGCCCAACGTACTCGAATGGCCGAAAGTCTTATGGAGATGCACGATTTTTCTAAGCCGTCACTTTCCGAACTATTAACTCCCTCAAATTCTCTTCCTTCTTTATTTTCGCGTTGGAGATCGGGCTTACCAGGCTGGCCGCTGATATGGCTTATTTCCAGAGGCGGCCATTTTCTCCCTCATCTCAGAGCCAACCAAAGCCTTCCATCCCTCATGCCCAGTCTTCATATTAAGCCCGTTCAATTACAGCCGCCACTTGCTGGTATCTCACCATCTTTGGTGTTAAAGCCCTCGCTGCATCTATCCCTGCTCCTTCATCTGCAAGCAGAGCAAACAGGTAAAACGGGTCAGCCCGAAGGCCAGTTCAACCAATCTTCCTGACAACTCTGACGTTGGTGACATCTGAAATGACAGGATTTGTTTGGTTGACTCTGATGTCTACCTAAATGCTACTCCACCCGCACCAGCTGATCGTTGGTGCTCCAATCCCGACCTTTTCCTACAGGCCGTCAACACATCGCCGATTACCACCTTCGAAACCTGCTCCTCCTCTCTGGACATCGGCCTCCGGCGTCTTTTGCCTTGGGTCTTTGCCGTTGCTGATATCTTTGCCATTCTCGGTGCAGATTTTCTCGCAGCTTTTGATCTTTTGCTCAACTGTCGTCAGTCTTATTTACACGACAAGAACACCAACCTCACCATCCGGGGTATCTCTTCTTCTAACGCCCCTCGTCAGCTCGCCGTCCTGGACCGTGAACCCAAGAATCCGTTTCGATAACCCTTCGCCAAATACACTGGTCTCCCTCGTCCAAACTTCAGCACTTTGATTCACCACACGACGTTATTCAACACACCCGACACTGATCCTGCCGTGTTTTCTCGGCCCCGCCGTCTCATGCCTGCACGTCCTGCTGTCACCAGCACCAAGTTCGAGCACATGTTCCGAGAGAATATCATCCGTCAGTCTGAAAGTCCATGGGCCTCACCCCTTAACATGGTCCCAAAGGCCGTACTAGTGACTGGAGCCCCTGCGGTTATTACAAGACCCTAAACAACTTTACGATCCGGGACCGCTTCCCCGTCCCGCATCTTCAGGATTTTGCAGGTGCCCTATTCGGCAAATGTGAGTTCTCGAAGCTTGACCTGGTCCGCACCTTCTACTAAACTCTCGTCGCCCCTGAGGACGTTTCGAAGGCGGCCGCCATCACCCACTTTGGCCTCTTTGACTACCTGTGCATGCCCTTTAGACCCCGCGACGCCTCCCAAACCTTTCAAAGGCTTGTAGAGAGAAAGAGAGTGCTTCGCGGCCTACCATTTGCAATGCCTATATCGACGACCTCCTGGTAGCTAGCTCCGCCACCGAAAAACGCATGGAGCATCTGGCAACTGTGTTTGACCGCCTTCAACAATACGGCGTTGTTTTCAACCCGTTAAATTGCTTCTTCGGCGTGCCCTCTCAACAACTTCTCGGACATCTGGTCGACTCCCACGGCATCCGTTCTCTTTCCCTGAAGGCTGCGGCTATCCGTGATTTCACTCCCCCCTCTTCCAAACGTCAACTGCAACGATTTCTGGACAGGGTGAATTTTTGTCGGCAGTTCCTCCAGCACTGTGCCGACACCATCCTGCCGCTCACTAGTCTCCTCTCGGACCCCAAAATTTCGTTCGGGTTGTCTGCAGACGCCCTCGCCGCTTTTGACAGGATGAAAGCTGCCCTGGCCGACGCGACCCTACTGACGCATTTCCCCCATGCTCCCATCTCCCTCGTGATCGACGCCTCCAATGATGCAATCCGCGTTTTTCTCCAAAAGCATCTTCCAGGCCACACTCAAACTTTATCTTTCTTCTCCAAGGAGTTATGATCTGCCAAGTCGCGTTATAGCACATTTGGACGGGAGCTCCTTGCTGTCTTCCCTGCCGTGAAATATTTCCGGCAATTCTTCGAGGGCACTACCCAGGCCCTCTATCGCACGTCTCCAACTTTCACTCAGGATCGACCTAGCTTAGATAGCTGCCGAAGAAAGCCCTTTTGGTTCTCCCTGTGATTTGGATGTTTCAGGACTCCAACTCCAGGACCTGCCACAGACTACTGACAACGGCACCTTTCTGTACGATGTCTCCACCACTTCCCACCGTCCCGTTCTGCCACCATCCTCCGCTACACAACCTACCACACTCTATGAGTCGGGCTACCAACAAACTGACCTCCGCTTCGTCTTGCTTGAGATGCCCAATGACCTCAAAACATGGACACGGGGGCGTATCGCCTGTCAACGAAGTATAGTCCAGCAGCACAACCGTACCCCATCGGGACCTCGCCCAACCATGGTGCAAGTTTCAGCCAAACCCTACCGGACGCTGTAGGTCCCCCTTTCGCCTGGAGGTTGTTCCTACCTCCACAGTCACATGGATCGATTCCTCCAGTGGCCTGAAGCTATTCCTCTGCCCGACGTCGATGCTAATAATAATGATAATAAAAATTTTTATTCAAGACCCGTGGGGGTCCCACCGTAGCAAGTAAGAATAAATTTACAATAATTTTAGAAGTTTAGAAAAGGTATACAGAATTAATAAAATACGTAATTCATGGTTATTTAATGAGTAATATCTTACGAAGAATGTAAGCGAGCGGTGAACAAAAAACTCCTAACATAAACAAAATGAATTCGATTGGATGAGAACTATAGGAGAAAAAACTCGCTCGTTAATATATAAAATGCAGGCAGGACCGGTCTCTATACGGCACTGTATAATAGTAATTTTTTGTTAAAGACCATTCGGGGTCCCATCAAAGCAGGTAAAAATAAATTTACATGCGAATTTTAGACGAGGTAGGCAAAATCTGTACAAATGCAATTCATTGTTTCTGAGTAAGTATCCCGTTAAGAAAAATGATTAGCGAGAGGTGAAAAAAGCACTTAAAAATTGAAAAATGATTGGGTTAATTGTCCAGGAGGAAAAAAGGCCTCAGAAATAATGATAAGTCAATTCAATTCAATTCAATTCAATTATTTTTATTAAAGACCCGTCGGGGTCCCATCAAAGCAAGTAAAAATAACATCAAAATGCGGGCAGGACTGGCCTGCATGTGGCGGTATATAGCAAATTATAATCGGACATCGTCAGGACAGAAATAAAGGTCAGCCTTGAGGGGTACGCATGCGTGTCGGACAGGACTGGCATGCATGAAGTATTGTATACGGGATTCGCAATTGACATCGTCTGGGCCGGATGGATACGCCGGATGAGACTATTCGCGTCCAAGAGGCCAGACTAGAGGAACCCAGACGCGATCGGCCACAGTACGCTTCGAGCCCAGCCGAGGAGTGGGAATGGGAGGTACGACCAAACTACTAGTAGACGGCGAATTCTGAGGGTTCCGCCGTGAGCGTCGACAGACCGCATGAGGTCGAAATGCGGGAGATGACATCAATAACCGCGAAAATAGTCGCTATGGAGTAAAAGTGATAGCAGTGGATTTAGCAACCAATTCAAAACAGGGGTTTCTAATGATATACTTGAGGGTTACCACTTGATATACTACTAAATCCCAGAAAGGCCCTTCTAGAAGTCAAGAACATGAGTGTTCGGTAATGAGACCGTTAACAGTGCCTTTATGATTTCCGGTGTAAGGTGTTTGCGTAATTTCGACTCAAATACCAGTAACTTAGGCGACGACCTAATTTCTGGCGGAAGATTATAAGTCAGTATAGGTCAGTATATTTTACGGGTAAAAGGCAATGCCTTTGAAAACCCTACTGTAAACGGTACATGCAATGTGTAACTTTAAATAAACACACAGCACTAAAGTGTTGTCAGTAATATACACACTCAACAGAATATTTTTCATTGAAAATGCAGGACCGAAACTCAAACACATTCAATTGTAGATGATATCGGTTAAATGCAATGACAGTCATCCGCATTAGCGCTAGGTGTATGCAAGGCGTTGGTTTGGCACCACAGAGCTGCTCTGCCCAGACAAGCGGTATTGTCCAAGCAAATATACATCTAGTCTTTGCTTGAACGTCTCCGTGGTATCCGCCATTAGTACGCACTCGGGAAGCCCGTTCCAGTCACCGACGACCCGCTGTGAAAAACGGTATCTGCGAACGTCCAGGCGACATCCGGATCCTCTTAGTTTTAGAGAGTTCCTACGCAGGTTTGTTGTTGTGGCCAGGGTGAAGATATCGTCCAGGTGTAGGGCACAGTCCCGGTTCCTCAATATTTGATAGGCCTGTATGAGATCTCCTCGAATCTGCCTATACTCAAGATGAAATGGTTTAAGTTCACTAAGTCGGCAGTTGTAAGGCAAAGTCCTGAGGCCTTTCACAAGTTTTGTCGCTCTCCTCTGAACTCTTTCTAGCAACTTATAGTCTTTTTAGCCACGGGCACCACGCTTTGATTCCATATTCCAGGTGCGAAAGAATGAACGCTCCGTATATTTTTCCAAATAACTCTTTGTCTATGTCTACGAAAGTTCGTTTAATGGCAAAGAGAACACTGGTTGCCCTTTTGGCCGCCCTAACGCCCTGAGAGGAAGGCCTTAAAGGCGACAAACTGTTAATCCCCAGATCTTTTTGTTCGGTCACATTTGAAAGGCACCTTCCACCAAGCATTTTTCAGTTTCAGTTTATTTCAGTTTATTTGGTAAGGATAATAGGCAAAGCCTTCGAAAACCCTATTGATTACATGTCAGCTCGTTAGAATAACTGTAAACGAACAGAAAATGTTCACTATTAAAACAGTACTTGGTTCATTTGAGTAGCATTGTCTCAGAGAAAATATTTGTCTGGACCAGGGGTATTAATTCAGATTCAGACTGTCAAGGGAAAACAGGGGACACAAATAATCATCCAAGCGTTTCTTGAACAGTGTCAGGGACGTAGCCTCCACGACTGACTGAGGGAGATCGTTCCATTTCTCCACTACCCTGTGCGTGAAAAATTCAGGACGAAGATTCAGCCTGGACATTGTTGTCCGTAACTTCATCGAGTGACCACGAAGATTGGGTGAAAGGTGCCACTGAAACACGTCCTCAAATTTAAGTCCATACTCAAGGCCATGTATTGTCTTGTAGACGAGGAAAAGATCACCTGTTTGCTGCCTGTAACACAGAGGGAATAAATTAAGGCAATTCAGTCTGTCTGTGTAGGAATGGCTTTTAGACCGTTTACCAGCTTTGTTGCACGCCGTTGTACCCGTTCGAGGCATTCTTGGTCCTTTACCAGCTATGGCCGCCATGCTTGTATGCCATATTCTAAGTGGGGTCGAACAAATGTGCCGTAAACTCTCCCAAAATTGGTGATCCTCTCCGTCGGCTCTTCCAGCTGTTTTGAGTCGCAGCGTGACGCACTTTTCAAAGTTAAACTTCAACTGCCATTTATCAGACCTTTCGCATAGGCGGTTTAGTCCTTTCTGCAGGGCCCGTTCATCATTTTCCCCGTTGATCGCTCGCCATAACTTGATGTCATCGACAAACATGACTCCATAGCAGTCCCGTCCATTCATACAGTCGTTGACATAAATTAAAATTGTACTGGTCCGAGTACATAACCCTGGGGAACTCCACTCACAACTGGCACTGGCGATGACTTCGCACTACCAATACACACAGATTGTGATCGATCAGTCAGAAGGTCCTTTACCCAGTTTAATAGGCTTTCCCTTATCCCTGACTCGCGGACCTTGTAAAGTAACCGTTGGTGTGAAACACTATCAAAGGCCTTCTTGAAATCAATGTAAGCGATATCGACCTTTGTTCCTGCGTCTAACGAGCTCGACCACTGTTCCGTTGAATAAGGCATATTAGTTAGGCAGGAGTGATTCCGTCGAAAGCCATGTTGAGAACTAGCAATGAAATTATTTTCTTCAAGGTACTTCATTATGGATTTTTTGACTATTCTCCCCATGACTTTGCAACAAATGCACGTTAGGCTCACCGGCCGATAGTTGTTTGGAAGCAAAGAAGAGGGAGCGCTTAGATGTAGTACAAAGAGGCGGCCGAATCACCATGCAGGAGTTGCGCGTGGCATAAGACCGATCTCTCGGAGTGAGAGTGTCAATGTGCGGAAGACTGGAGCTAGAGTTGATGCGAAAAAGGAAGCAAAGGCCAGCTGCGAGTCCTCTAACCCACAAAAACTTAATGTTTGCCAGCTGAGATCTCTGAGTATAAGAAGTATCGGGTGCGACTTGAGCGAACAGTTTCCGGGTGAAAACCCTGCGAACATTTTCGATCTTATAGCGGTCACAGGCATTTAGTAAACCGAAGAAAGGACAGCAGTATTAGAGGACAGGAAGGATGAACATTTGATAACGTCTTAGCTTCATTTTCGGAAGGAAAAAATTATGCGATATGAATCCACATATGTGTGCGTGTTTGGCAGAGATTCTATCTGCATGAGGCAATAAAGCAAGTTTATTTGTATAACATAAACCTAGGTCCTTAATGGTGAGGCCTTCTGAGAGTGGGCTATTCTGAAAAATTATGAGACCAGAAAGTTTGGCAGGACCAAAAACATGAAACTACACATGGATGATGAGAACTCCATCTGCCATGTTGAAGCCCATCTGCTTAAACGTAGTACATCGGCAATAATTTTTTCAACACAAACATTAGCGGTGTCCATAGAAGATGAGTAAACACGCTTGACAACATCGGTTTAAATAACAGTTTGTTAATTTCCGAGTTCAGTCGAAATATCATTGATGTAAAGAAGGAAGAGTAGCGGACCCAGAATCGTGCCTTGAAGTCGCCACTCGTGATCGAGTGAGGTGTCGAGTAGCTAGTGCCGACCATGACTTTCTGATATCGGTTTGACAGATAGGACCTGATGAAGTCGGGTAGAGGCGGCCGGATGCC